CGGTCGTAAGTTGAGGACTAAACCGGTCGTAAGTCAAGGACTAAACCGGTCGTAAGTCGAGGACTAAACCGGTCGTAAGTCGAGGACTATCCCTGCCCGTGAGCACCGCACATGCGTGGTTCCGCCCCCTGTGCCGGCCGAGGCGTAGCTGGCAAGCGGCAGAGACGGAGCAGGCCGACCACCAGCTGGCCCAGCCCAAGGGAGGTAAGGCACCCGCCGGAAAAGGGGAAAAAAATTGGCGAACAAAAAAATGGCGGACAAAAATAATGGCAGACAGCCTTGCTTGGCGACCCCCATGAAATGGTCGATCGACCCCAAATGGGGTCCCGACCCACAGGTTGAGAACCACTGATTTACACGAACTTGTGCTTCGCCCCACTTAGGAAACACACATTCCATATCAAAACAGAAAGTGATTCTAAAAATTAGAATTCTAATTCTAAAAGACAACTTTAATTAATGGTATTCTGAGGCTTCTTTTTCCTTTTCTTTTCTCTTTTGAATTTTCCTATAGGCATTGAGAAACCCAAGGAATGACATTGGAAACTGATAAGGTTAGAAAAGAGGAACTTTACCAGACATGGCACTTGAGGGTCAACGTTCTTTTGAGAACATCGCCCTACATGTCCACATTCCATCCCATAATTGAGATTCACTTTAGTCATACATCTCTACAAGTAAGACATCCTTATGATGGAATGTAGTTGTTTTTTATTCCGCTTCATGTAGCCCCCTCTTTTTTAATCCTCACTGCCACTTCCTCCTCCGAGTAGGTTCAAATGTGAAACATACTCATAATTAAATATGAGTATTTATTTTATTTTTATTTTATTTCCTCTTCCACCTGCTACAAGAATATCTGCTCAGTTTCAGAGCATTTTGCGATTTAAAAAAAAAAAGGTTCAAACCAGATGTAGGCCATACTGACTCCTAAAACCCTTGTTTAAGTACTCAACCCACACTCCAGCCATTCCTAAAACTTTTGGGGTTGGTGGAAGTGTTCGATATTCTTTAAGAATGAGTATCATAGCTTTCATCATAAAACAAGATAACTATCTTCCTAAATACATAACCTTAGTATAGTTCAGGGGTAGGCAACCTTGGCTCTTTTATGACTCGTGGACTTCAACACCCAGAATTCCTGAGCCAGCTGGTATAGATTAATACTTTGTATATACTTGCTAAATTTTGGTGGGTGTAATCCCAAAAGGGTCTCTTGGTTGCATGCAAGGAAGATATTTCACTATGATAAGGGAAGAAGATAGTCAACAAGCTACTTACAATTATTTCCATTGTTTGTTCCTCATTCAGTGCATCCTGCAATGGAAATAAAGGATATCACCTCTGCTCTCATATGACTCTCCACCCATGTTATCTCTGCCATTTCATCTCATTAAAAAATTATTCCTTCTTTATTCAGACATGAAAGGATTAGTCCTTTAATAGACTTGCAAAGGTGATTCAGGCAGCATGCTTTAAAATGGGTGGGCTCCAATAACGTCCCTTTGTTGGCTGGGGAATTAGGCATTGTAGCCCACACATCTTCAAGTTGCTGAGATTAAGAATCACTTCACTAGGGAAAAAAAACTCACCATAGGCCCCCTCCTCTATTCAAAAAGAGCTCAGATTCATGGCAGAATCTATGAATTAGTGTTTGGATCCCTTCAGAAATAGTGGCGCTCCATCACTGGAGACTTTTAAGAGATCAGACAGTAATTTGTCTGGAATGGTATAGGGTCTGTACTTACTAGAACTTTTTTCATCATTTCAATGGCATTTTCCTACAAGGGAAGTGAAGAGTATCAGTGTGATTCTCACATAACACATATGACTTCTCCAACTGTTCCATCACTAGATATCAGACTTACGCTGATACTGATTTATACTGATTTTTCTCTCTGAAACTAAATGTTTTGTTTTGTTTTATGAGAAAAAAGGGGATAGACATTTCCCCAAAGGGGAATTGAATCAGGACATCCAGCATGATGTAATTTATTTACCGTAGACTCTGCATCAGCATTATCCTTGTTATTCTGAAAAAAACAAACAAGAACACTTCCTCAGGGTTGGGGTTAGCTCCCTTAGATGTTTACAGGTAATATAACCACACATGATACGTAGCTTAAGTACCAATGAACCTCTGAATTTTGCCCTATCCCTTATTTCTATTCATCTCAAACTCTTCTCATACCAAACAAAGAAATTTTCAGCCTTCTGTATTGGTCCAATTCAGTAGGTCCAACAAGAGATTATCTCTGATTCTTATGATAATGTGAACCCTGAAAAATCCAGTGCAGACAACAGGATGCCGCCCTGAATTCAGAATCACTGATAGAGTTGAATTCCTGATCATTAAAAGACTAAGTACTTCAAAGCCTCTGCCTGAATTTTCAACCCCTTGATGAAGAAATGTGTTAAAGCATGGGGACAAACTCCACAAAATACTTATTGATTTCATCTGCAGGCATCCCAGCTGAAAAGCTGTTGCAACCCACAAAATTTAGCCTTACCTGCTGGACAGAAAGAGTAAAAGTCAAAGCAAAGATGAAAAGGAGACCCATCTCCTTTGTTACTCTTCAGCTCTTTCTTCTAAGTGAGTTTATTCAGCTCCACTGGCACATTTTAACATCTTAATCCTTAGGCCTCATTGCCCAAACCCAATGCCTCTATTGTTACTTTATTTACAAGGAAATAATAAGCTTCCATTGCATCATGCATAGTCATTCCATTATCCATGCTCAACTTGAAGCTAAAATGCAGAGGTGTGTCCTAACATCATCATAGGCAACACATCTTCCTGTAATTTTTCCATACAAAATTGGCTAAGAGAAGGATTAAGCCAAAATTCACTGATGGAAACTACATGGCTGAAAGTGCCCCATAACCTGTATCTGCCTGATCCTACTGCAACATTGAACAACTCACCCTATTATTTTTATAAGATTATTTTTAGTGTACCTTGAGTGCAGTTCTGAGGTGAATGAGATAAAAATAATTAATCAGCCCTGCATGGAATCACAGCTGATCATTTTGCCCCACTGAGATGACTCACTCCATGTCTACAAAGCATTGGAAGGGGGCTGACCAGTGTTTGAGCATTCACAACTTCTGGAGGCAGGTTGTTCCACTGATTAATTGTTCTAACTGTCAGGAAGTTTCTCCTTAGTTCCAGGTTGCTTCTCTCCTTGGTTATTTTCCACCCATTGTTTCTTGTCCTGCCTTCCGGTGCTTTGGAGAAAAGCTTGACTCCATCTTTTTTGGGGCAGCCCCTCAGATATTGGAAGATCGCTATCATGTCATCCCTGGTCCTTCTTTTCATAAAACTGGACATACCCAATTCCTGCAACAGTTCTTCATATGTTTCATCCTCCAGCCCCGATTATCTTTGTTGCTCTTTTCTGCACTCTTTCCAGAGTCTCAACATCTTTTTTATGAATCATGGTGACCAAAACTGGATGCGGTATTGCAGGGGTGGCCTTATCAAGGCCTTATAAAGTGGAATTTGGGATTCTTCAGACACGGAAGACAGATATTATTAAATGAGGTTTAAGGCTCTACCAGGAATTGGACCCATACCCAATTGCATTTTATATGACCTTATACTGAAGAGCTATCCAGGTTCCAATCACAGCCTTGTAACACAGAGCGTGAACCCTTTCAAATAACCTCTGATTCCTCACATCTGAAAAGTCCCAAATAGGATGGAGCCAGTCATATCATGGTCCCAGTAGTTAAGATAACTGAAACTACCGTACAGGACATTCACTGTCTAAAAATAGAGAAATCCCCCTTTTCCTTCCAAGAGTGGATGGAAGTAATATAAAAGACATACAGGGGAGGCAGAAATGACATGGGCCAGACTGAATTAGACAGGTAGAGTTGGAGTGGCTGGGTGTGTGTGTGAGTGTGGGTGCAAGTGAGTGGGTGTGGGTGTGATGTGCCATATTGAGGCACAATATGCTGGATGTTCCTGGTCGCCAGGTGCCTCCTGAGGGAGGAAAATCTGCCCGGAGACAGACAAAGCCCGCCAAAACAGAGGTAAGCTGATTCGACCAATCACAGGCTAGTGACATCATCCACAATCTGTATAAATACTGG